TTTGAAACTGACAATTTTCGCAAATTGCAGAATGGTGATCCTCGACTCTTGGATCGAGCGCACCTCATTCTAAGTGAAGTACGGCCAAGGAAAGATATATAATCTGTCATTATATATAATCTATATACAACTGTATTAAGTTATATATAATTATATACAGTCGATATATAACTATATGTAATTGGTATATAATTACATAATAATTAGTATATTAATAAATATATATAGAATTTTATTTACCTATTGTTACAACTATACGCAACTAAGTATGGTTTGCACACACACACACGCACACACGCACACGCACACACGCACACGCGCACACACACACACACACTCACATGTACTATATACAGGATGAAGAAAATATATATATATATGTTTCTCAATGGTATTTTATAAGGACACAGACAAAGAATAACATAAGCACCAGTTGTCCTCCTAAAATACACCTGGCTGTGCGTGTGTGTGTGTGTGTGTGTGGGTGTGCGTGTGTGTGTGCAAACCATACTTAGTTGCGTACAGTTGTAACAATAGGTAAATAAAATTCTATATATATTTATTAATATACTAATTATTATGTAATTATATACCAATTACATATAGTTATATATCGACTGTATATAATTATATATAACTTAACACAGTTGTATATAGATTATATACAATGACAGATTATATATCTTTCCTTGGCCGTACTTCACTTAGAATGAGGTGCGCTCGATCCAAGAGTCGAGGATCACCATTCTGCAATTTGCGAAAATTGTCAGTTTCAAATGGCTGTAATTCGAAAACTATCCACTTTGGGCCCATTGACACTTTTGATCTACATGATCTGAACTATCATTTGCCCCAATTTCAAGACATTCGACTGAGAGCCATTTCCCTATCATTTCCTGCGGGGTCCTTTGCGTGAAACTAATACAGAAAGTAGTGTTTGTATGCAAACGATAGAGAGAAGAGAGAGGGAAAGAGAACAGCAAGATACATTATTATCTACAACAGAAACATTGATTTCATCCATACCAGTTTCAATTAATGAAATTCCTTCCATTTCTGAAATTACATCCATTCCAGAATCCTCGAGGTGTGATAAAAATGAATGTTTACACCAGAGCTGGGATTTAGTTGCACATTTCGGCCGATTTTCAACTTGCTTCCTGCCCCTTACTTCACCAACCCGCGCGCAGCCTAAATGTCGATCGACCGAAATATGCAACTAAATCCTAGCTCTGGTTTACACCAATCTTTGAAAATGTTAATAAATGAAAACACAATAGGTGCTTTGAGCAGAGGATTGAGAACGAGGACTATAACAAAGTAGAACATGTTGAATAAAATCTTCGTGAAAATAATTAATGTTTGAATTGTTATGGTTTAGGAAATTGATATGGTTTAGGAAATTGATATGATTTAGGAAATAAGATTTTATATATAAAACCAAACGGCAAATAAAAGGCCTGTTCTTTCTGACTGAACTTTTGGACCAGTTCATCTTTCTTCTTCTTCTTTCCTCCTGGAGAAAAAAGAAAGAAAGATGAACTGGTGCAAAAGTCTCTCCAGGAGGAAAGAAGAAGAAGAAAGATGAACTGGTCCAAAAGTTCAGCCAAAAAGAACAGGCCTTTTATTTGCCGTTTGGTTTTATATATAAAATCTTATTTCCTAAATCATATCAATTTCCTAAACCATATCAATTTCCTAAACCATAACAATTCAAACATTAATTATTTTCACGAAGATTTTATTCAACATGTTCTACTTTGTTATAGTCCTCGTTCTCAATCCTCTGCTCAAAGCGAAAATAACGAACAAAACAAAAATGAAAAATAAGATAAATAAAAGGCATTAAACTACGAACGCAAGATGTAAGCAGCGAATAAATATATATTTAAAAAGTTAATATACATATATAATAGACGTTTCGGTCTTAAATCAGACC